CAAAAAACATATTAAAGAAGTTAGCAAATAAAAACGAAGACTTAGTGATGTGGCTGAGGTGTGAAACTGCGTAACCAGTTTGTGAGACGGTCCATAGCTGACAAATCCATCTTCTTGGGAACAATAGGGGAAGTCACGGCTTTGATGAGTGGTCCGACCACGACTCGAAGCTTAAGTCCAGCGGCACAGTGACCAGTCTTTGAGCTAATGAAGTAGTGAACTCCTGGTTTGGTGAGCGTGACTAGATCATGGCCTGTCTTGTGCACAGCTACGGGAGAAGTTTGGTCGCATGTTATGAATTCAAGGTCACCATTAATCTCTAAAACGTCGTCGTTTACTTGGTTGTTGTATTCGAAAAGTAGTTTGTCTCATACATGAAACAACTTATCCTGACTCCACTTGGTATAGTATCCACTCTCTTCAGGAACGTTCCATGCTTTAGTGTCACCGACTGTGGGAGCTGGAATCTACGAGCTGGAGATGGAATGAACTTGAGTGGGTTCCCGATTCCCTGTCCGAACTTGCGAATGAGACTTGCTAAATGAGAGAAAATTGTTTTAAGTTTTATTTAGTATCTTTTGTCCCAAAAATCCGTCTCCTTACACTTAGTTTTTTCCCCCTACTTATACTATTCTAACATACACTTAATGACCAGCGGGCTCTGCTCCGTAAATCACGCTTTCCTCGTCAAACTCCGCTTGACCCGCTGATTGCCCGTTTTGATTCTCTTTTCGAACTCTTGATTCCTTGACAGTACATGCCTAGCGGGCCGGGATCAGCTCCTCTAGTGGGCTTCGGCTAACAGCCCGGCAGCGAAGCAGGCCGTTAGCCCAGAATGCCAGTTCTGGTACCCACACCGACCTTGTAGATATCGCCTGAAGGAAGGATCTTGCTTGGTGGTGGTGTAGGAATGGGACGTGACGGGTCATGAACAACAAGAACGTCGAGTCTTTGTCCTAGTGTGCATTGAGCTTGGTTTGAGCTGATGAAGTAGTGATATCCTGGTTCCTTGAAGGTTACGGTATCATGTCCTGTGTTGTACACGGCCTTAGGAGAAGATGTATCGCAAAATTGGTATTCTAAAGCTCCCGGGACTTGAGTAATGTCGTTGAGGTAGGGATTGTATTTGAAGACCAAAGAGTCACCAACGTGGAACTCTTTATCTTTGGCCCATTCGTAGTAGATGTCTTCTTTGGCAATCCATCCATTGGAGTCACCAACGGTGTAGACCTTTGCTGAACAAGAACCTAAGAGAACTGTGAAGACAAGTAGCACGAAGAGGAAGATCTTCTTCATATATCACTTCGTTTGTTTATCTTCAAGAGACAGTCTAAACATTAACTTGCAACTTCATGTCCAAAGATTTTCAAGAAATAGTTAAAATCACATAACCTGAACTTTCATACCAAGAACCTGATTCGATTAAGTTTCAGCTTTATAAGACAAGATCCATTACTGAACCTAAATTGTTAGAGTTGAACCCTATTTTTATTACACTTCCAAATTACCAGAGAACAATTAGAGATTCATACATCTAGCTTAAGAAACTTGGTGATGATTCCCATCATTTCACCACCATGGAAACGGCCAAGGCATCCTCTCGCAGCTGCAATCTCATTCAACTCTGAGACTGAATCTCCACCAATCGCTGGGGGAGCTTCCCTCCTCGTCCCACCGTCTTGTTCTTTTTCTTTAGAAGTGAAAGTTTCATCAGATTCTGTAACTTTTGGAAGCGGAAAAGGGTCTAAAGACGTCTCTAATAGAGCTGATTCTCCTCCAACTGCGCTCACAAAGTCCTTTAACCGGCACATTGTAAATGGTACAGGCTCGAAGCTGTGGTCTCCATACTCAACTGGAGTAGAATGATCACCAGTCACACACAAGAAATACTGGTAATTTGAAGACGATTCAGCTTGCCATAGAAGCTTAGCGAGTTGACGTATCGCCTTATCCACAGCTTCCAAGCCTCGAACTTTGAACAATGTAGCCTTGTCATGACCAGCATCATCTATAGCCTGCAAGAATTATAAGAAAACAAGAAACACCATCTATAAATCAGAACGGAAATGTTTATGTTCTGTTTGAAAAGACATAAAAATGTTTTCACCTTTATGTGAAGGAATCCAAAATCGTAACCATCTGACCTTCCCGGTTTATGCCTGTCCTCAGCTGGATCAAAGACATTAGGACATGGATTCAAAGGAGCTGAGAGCGCATTGGCTATAGCAACTGCTTTCGATGTGAGAAGCGTTCGGTAATCTCCAGTAGCTCCCGGAGCTTCTAGAATGTCAATACCAAGGGACATACCAAGTCCAGCTATAATTTTAGTAGGTGCTACCATACACGGCCACAACCCGTGCTTCTCTTGAAAAGGAGGAACCTTTATATAAAAAACCCGTAACAGATAACTACATGGAGCATTTTAGATTCCTTAGAGACAGTAAAAGTCTAAAACACAAACCTCAATTCGAATTCCACAGCCTCTTAAAAGAACAAGATTGGCAATATTCTTGCCTTGTTCAGCTCTCTTTACATTAACCGGGTGAGAAACAAGAATGCGCGATATCTCCCTGGATAATTCGTTCACGACTTTAGCTGTGTGATTAGCTTCTTCTGATTCATCCAAAGGTTTAGCTTGAAGAAGCAAACGATTATCCTTCAATGGGTCTGTTCCAGATATATTCCCACTAAGTCTTGGCCCTTTTACAACCACTCCACATCTGTGTTCTGTAGCATATCTGTAGAAATCCAAAAAAAAAACGTTCCTTTAGCCAAATTCCAAAACCCAAAAATCGAAATCACAAAAACAAATTTTGCAACCAACCAACCTAACTCTCACTTCATACTCAGGGAAAGATGGAAGCTTCATTCCATCAAGAGCAGCACAAAGTATAGGACCTTCTTCTTCGAAATGTCGATCAGCTCTCCTACTAACAACAATTCCAGAATCCTCATCCAAAGTCGCAAAATTCGACTGCGTAAACCCGACAACAATACCATCAAAAACCTATAAAAAGAATGTACACAAACAAAGATTAAAAATTCAAAACCTTGAAAGCGATGTCGCCTGGTGACATAGCTAATCCAGCACCCATAGACTCAAACGCACCACGACCGCGATAATACACTCTTGGATCATAACCCATTAAAGAGAGGTGAGCTGTGTCACTACCACAACCTAATCCAACTTCAACTGGATCCATTAGTCCATTGATTCCAGCTGATGCAATCGCGTCAAGGTTCGGTATGTTTGCCGCTTGTAATGGAGTCTTGTACCCTAATCTTGGTATTGATACATCTCCCAAACCATCGATCAACACAAAGGCGACTCTTTTTTTAACTTCCTCCATTTTTGCAATAATCTGTATCTGTTCCAATTGGTATTATCACTTTCACTGATGATCAATGAGCCAATCTACATAACAATCTCTTATACTATGAATCAGCTATTAACGATTAAAGTTCAAATTTTTAGCTAACGGATCCAAAACAGAGTTCAAAATTTTAGCTGATGGATCAAAAATAAGCGAAATCGGAATACGAATAGACCCTTACAGGCGTCGTCGGGATCGTTAACGCTCGCCGGAATTGTGTCTGCAGCACCAAGTTCAGTATTGTCGTGACGACGATGTTGTTCTCGTTGTTGCGTTCAGCTTAAGTCGAAAGATGGAAGATTCGCAAAAGCAAAACGACGTCGGTTTTGAGCTAAGGTCAATATATTTATTTGAGGCCCGTTTTAGGCCTGGCAGGATTTAAAAGCCCATAAAATTTAAGCCCGTAAGAGAATAATAATGGTAACAAAATTTTGAACCTGGAGTTTTTTGGATATGATCTTATAACTCATGTTCATATTTATCGGTCCAAATTAATTCATCCCTTGCGGGTTTTTCATTTTTGGAAGATTTAACCATTAATCGTATTCATTGGATTGTATATTTGGTAAAAAATAAGAGAAAATTATACTTTATGCCATGAACAGTGTCATTTCTTCTAAGAAATGCCACTTTCAATCTAATCTTCTATAAAATGCCATATGACCCACTTTTTACTCATTCAAATGACAATTTTGTTCTCCACTCAAACTTTCTCTTTATTTTACATTTTTTCTCATCTCTTTCTATTTTTTCTTCTTTCTTCTTTTCTTTCTATCTCTTCTTCTTTGATCTTTTCTTTATTTCTTCAACAACAAACAAATATCTCTACAGCTCCAGCAGACTAGTTCCGGTGAACCAATTCCGGCGGACCAGTTTCAACGGACTAGTTCTGACGGACTAATTTCGACAAACCAAAACCAGTCTCAGCAGACCAGATCCGACGGACCAGTTTCAATGGACTATAACTAGTTCCGGCGTAGCATAACCAATCTCAACAGACCAGTGGCTACATATTCGATGGACCAATTCCGGAGGACCAGATCTGGCGAACCAGTTCCGATGGACGAGATCTGGTGGACCGGAATCGGTAGACCAAACTTGTCCATCCTACATATCTCTTGAAACCACAAGCAATTAAGGAGAAGATAAAACAAATGATGCATATATAGAAGACATCATCAACGATTCATCTAGGTATACACTTTGGATCACACATTTATGTGTTGATGGACTAGAGTTGTAACATGTCTAGTTTTTGTTTCCTATTTTGTTGTCCATTATACTTATATAGTAAAGTAAATCTAACTTTTTATAAACGAACTTGTCCATAATACATATGTTAGATGAATAGACAAATTTTTTTATCTATAATCGAGTGTGCAGAAAAACAAAGAATGTCGATACAAAAAAACTTGTCTATTATATAATGTCCATAATTATTATGACAGCTGTAAAAATGTCCCATCTCATGTCAGACTTTTTGTCATCTTTCTTTGAGGGCATTTTTGTCTTTTTTCTTTAATATAAAAATGAATATGGCATCTCAGAAAATACAAAGTAGAAAGTGTCAGTTTTAAAAGAATGAGTTTTGAATATGGCATTTTATATAAAATTCCCAAAAAATAAAATTTCAAAACCATTATTTTATTTAGTTAACCATTTGACATGGATATACAATATTAAAACCATTTAAATATTTCTAAGAACCATACACACAAGTACCCCAACTAGGATCGGTACCGGCAAATGTGCCAGTATTCTTAAAGCTGCAAGCTTCTTTGGTACGACCATGGCTTTGAAAATATGCGTTCATTACAAACGATGCATGATTTACAAGAGTATTGGGAACAAAACAGTATCCACCAGGCCGGATTGGCGTACAATCAACTCCTTGACTACATCCAAAATTAATATTGTCTTGTAATTGCGCATTCGTCGCGGTTAGTGTTGCTATACACCATTGCTTAGAACTGACCACATGAAGATGGTTGATCATGATCAAAGATAGAAAGATGAAGAGGATTGTCAAAGGGGATGACATTTTGACCATTGTTGATAATGATATGGGAAAGGTTATATTTTTTTGGATTTCTGTGTGAGTATGTGCATCACTATTTATAAGATTGTGGAAAGGCGAAGATTTAGAAAATTTTAAGAAAATAAAAAATAGATATTAATAGTTAAAAATTTATTTTTACAATTTGTCATTAAGAACTTTAACCATTAATTGGAAAGAAGTCAACAATCTTAAAAGATTTAGGAAAACAAAAATATTTCATTATAAGTAGGAATATATCTTCATAATTTTAATTGATATCTTTATAATAATAAAATGTTTTAATAAACAGAAATATATCTTCATAATATTAATTGATATGGCTATAAAAAAGTTGAGGAAACAAATCAAAGATCTATATTAACATTTTTAAAGACACTTTACGAAATAAATCTTAAAGTTCTAACTTAATTACAAGTGATGCCACTGTATTTATTATTAATTTTAGAAAATTGAAAACTAATAATGATCACATTTAACAAAATTTTCTAAAATCTCTCTCTAATAAATACAAAACATAATTTTCAGAATTTTCATTTCCCTTCTCAAATAATTTTCAATATCTTTATATAAAACTTATTTTTTTTGAAAAATTATTTTATTGGAATAAAATATATGTCTAATAAAAATACAATTTTTTCGCATATGCTGCAAATTGAATTTTCAAAATCGGACGTATACTACTCAATTGATAAAGAAATGTACAACGTCTCATATCAGACATGATTTTTTTTATAACAATGGCTCAGAAACTTTATAAATAGAACTAATATGTTTTTAACTATAAATAAGCAAGAAACTTGATTCTTAGGCGTCCAAATTTGAAAGTTTTATTCGGTTTAATCGGGTTCTATATTTGAGGAAATTAAAACTTTTGAAATATTATCAAATTCAAATATTTAAAGTTTAAATATTATTTTGAATTATTATTTAATTTTTTTTTGAAAATTATAAATATTGAATCTTTTAATTTTATAGAATGTTTAACCTAAAGTGTTATTGACCTTGCCAAAAGTTTTAACATAGGTTTAATTTTTCCGTCATAAGTTGTTATACGAATCACATATCGGAGCAATTATTACAATTTTTTTTTTTGTTTTAGAAATAACATTTATACATTTGTTGTATGACATGTTGTGTTTCAGATATATTCCCACTAAGTCTTGGCCCTTTTATAACCACTCCACATATGTGTTCTGTTGCATATTTATAGAAATCTATAAAAAATACTTCCTTAAGCCAAAATCCCAAACACCAAAACCGAAATCACAAAAACATATTTTGCACCTAACCTGACTCACACTTCATACTCAGGGAAAGATGGAAGCTTCATTCCATCAAGAGCAGCACAAAGTATAGGACCTTCTTCTTCGAAATGTCGATCAGCTCTCCTACTAACAACAATTCTAAAATTTGACTGCGTAAACCAAGAACAATATCCTCAAAAACCCTATAAATTTTTACAAAAGAATATATACAAACAAGACCAAAATCAAAACCTTGAAAGCGATGTCACATGGTGACTCTTTTTTTGACTTCCTCCATTTTGCCACAATTTGTATATGTTCCAATTAGTATTATCACATTCACTGATGAGCAATGAGCCAATCTACATAACAATCTTTTATACTATGAATCAGCTATTTAAGATTAAAGTTCAAATTTTAATACCAAAAAAGGTAACCCACTTAAAATTTGACACCAACCATAAAAGTGTCTAGAAAACGATATGAGAAGGTCGTACCTGAGACCTCGTGTGTATTCTCTCTCATGCTTTTTTTTTGTTTTTTTCTTCTTTATTTTAATTGTCTTGACACTCTGAGATCATGTAACGCCCCGACCGTCGCCTATTCAGTGGGCCTCATATTCACTCACAACCCCATGTTCACTTACAGTCTATGGGCGCACCTCTCTTGATGGGCGCACCTCTCTTGATGGGCGCACCTCTCTTGATGGGTCTCACATCCCCTCACTATAGCTTTGAAAATATGCATTCATCACAAATGATGCTTGATTTACAAGAATATTTGGGATAAAACAGTATCCACCAGGTCAGATTGGCCTACAATCAACTCCGTGACTACATCCAAAATTAATATTTTCGTTTAATTGCGCATTCGTTGCTGTCAATGTTACTATACACCATTGTTTAGAACTGACCACATGAAGATGGTTGATCATGATTAAAGATAGAAAGATGAAAAGGATTGTCAAAGGGGATGACATTTTGACCATTGTTGATGATGATAAGTGAAATAATATACGGTAGGTTTTATATTTTGGATTTCTGTGTGAGTATGTGCATCTCTATTTGTAAGATTGTGGAAAAACAAAGATTTAGAAAAATTCAGGAAAATAGAAATATATACATTAATTAGACATTTATCTTTTTAATTTAAAATGATAAGTCATTAAGAAGTTTAACCATTAATTTGTAGGAAGTCAAAGATTTTAAAGCATTTAGGAAAACATAAATATTTCACTATAATTAGCAATATATCTTTATAATTTTACTTAATATCTTAATAATTGTAATATATATATATATATATATATATATATATATATATATGTGGTAATAAACATAAATATATGTTCATAATATAAAACAAGATGGCTATTAAAAGAATATGATATTAAAAAAAATCCAAAATTCAACAATTCATAGGAAATGAAATATATATCTTTATTCAATTTTTTCAACTAATAGATCTTTATTATTTGATATATATATATATATATATAATTAAACTTTAAAATGGTATATATATAAAAGTAGAAAAATATCCTTCTTACTTGAAATGAAATATCTGTATAAACAAATATTAATCACACGATAGTAGAAATTCAAATATTAAAACTGTTTCAAAAATATAATATTTTCAAATTTTGAATATAATAAATAAAATATCAAGATACTAGAATATCTCTCCGTAATGGGAAAATTAAAATCTGTGTCGTACTTAAAAATGTATGTATAGATTTCTCACATACACAATTTTCACGAATCTATATATTATGTAGTTATCATTACTTTATATTTTTATTTCATACAAGGCCCATTCAAACTTAAATTTCTGAAATAACAATATTAATAAACTGTATTATTATAAAATAAATGATACAACTTGTTGTACAAGACTAATTTTGTCATGACATAGTTGTAACTTTAGTTTTCACGAAGACTTAGTGACCAATAATTTGGTCGCAAGGACTTAGTGTTTTATAAGAGTGTCTAGCATCATGAAAAGACTCTTCTACGGACACATTAGTAGGGAAAATATACGTCTTAAATGTGGAGCTGAGGAAGAAACTATAAATTACATCCCTTTTAAGTGTATATCATCTTGACAAATTAGAGCTCCCCCCATAGAATTTGTTATTTTGTTGGCATTCAATATTCTTCAACTAACTTCTTCAAGGAAGAAAACTACTAATAGCTTGAATATTTTGTATCATATTTGACTACTGAAACAATAAATAATAAGATTAATTTTTATTAATATTTTGTTACAAAGTTATTCATGAAACAAGCCTAAATTTTGTGGACCTAATGGTTATGTAGTCGTGATATCAAAGAGAACAATTTATGGTTATGTAGTCGTGAGTTTATTATTTTGTAGTTTTGCAATGTGACATAGAAACTTAGTAATGTATGGTTTCTTAGCTCTTTCATTCTGGGGTGACGGAGGGATCTTACCGTTCGAGCCTTTTTTCATGCTTTTCCCGGGAGTCTGGAGAAAGCTGCAATTAATAAGATTCTCCTTTCCGCAGGGACCAGGATATTGGATCTAGCCGTAAGAAGAATGCTTGGCTGATAAATAACTCACTTCGTGGTCTACGACCCCTTCAGTCACTACGAATGCCACCGATCAGCTATTAGAAAAATGCATGTCTAATTCGTGGTTATTTAATTATATAGTTGATAAAAAAACCACCTTTCAAACCATAATTTTATTAATTCAACCTTTTTACAGGGATATCAATTATTAAGACCACTTAAATATTTCTAAGAACGATACTTACAAGAACCAAAACTAGGATCTGTAGTAGCAAATGTTCCAGTATTTTTAAAATTACAAGCTTTTTGGGTACGATTACGGCTTTGATAATATGCGTTCATCACAAATGATGCATGATTTAAAAGAGTATTAGGATTAAAACAGTATCCACCATGTCGGATTGGTCTACAATCAACTCTCTTACATCCCAAATTAATATTTTCTTGTAGTTGCACATTTGCTGCGGTCAATTTTGCTACACACCATGTTTTCGGACTGGCCGCGTGAAGATGGTTGATCATGATCAAAGAGAGAAATACGAAAAGGATTGTCAAAGGCAATGAGATTTTGACCATTGTTGAAAACGATAATTGAAGTGAGACAAATTTTATATTTTGGATTTTCTACGTTAATATGTACATGCATCAATATTTATAAGATTGTGAAAAGACAAAGATTTAGAACAATTAAGGAAAATAAATATATATATTTATAATTAGAAATTTATCTTTATGATTTGAAATGATATGTCTTTAAGAACTTTAACCATTAATTACTAGGAAGTCAAGGATTTTAAAATATTTATAATTAGGAATATAGCTTTATTATTTACTTACATCTTTATAATTATAGATGATATGTGTTTATAAACAGATATATATTTCCATAATATAAAATATAATAATATTGCTAAAAAAAAACTTGATAGTAAAAAATCAAAGATTTAACAATAAATTGGAAAATAAAAACACATCTTTATTATTTTATTCTATTTTATCAACTAATACAATTTTCATGAATATTAGGACTATTTATAATGGTTTTGAATTATTATCTAAAATATTCTACTTTGTACATACATCTTTTTCCTTTATCGACTTACTAATATACGTCCGTTTTCAAAAATTTAAGTTGTAAAATATGCGAAACATAATTTGCATTTTGATTATACATATACTTTATGTCATAATATAAATTAAAAACAAATAAGATTATATAAATATATTGGAGAGGGGTTCAATTTATTAGAGAGATATTTTAGAAACTTTTTTGATGTAATAAATATTTCTTTCCAATTTTGCGATTTGCTTGTGATTTAATTACAAAATTGACTTTTAAGTTTTGTTATTTATTCAAATGGCAAGAATTTAATTATGCAAATATTACAAAATAAAAGGTTATAAGCCTAAATAGATTTTAGTACAAAATGTACTTCAAAAATATATATTTATATTTATATATAGATATATATGGTAATGAAAAAAATTTCATTTATAAATATATTTTGTATTTTACTATATATATCTACTGGCCAGTCGACAAATCCGCTTTCATAAACCAAACACCTTTATGTTTCATATAGGCTACTCGCAGATCGAACGGATCACATTATAGGTGGAGGTCAAAATATTTTTAACCCAACGCAAGACGAGCCTAATGGGACGAGCAAACCGCCTTAGCATCTCTAGTATAAATGCATCAACCCAATCACTATATATATATATATTACAACTATGATAATTAGCCAGAAAAAATACAAATTAGAAATGTACTTTAAAAGTTGTAAAAAATACATTATAAATTAGAATATATTATCAGGAAAAAAAAATCCAGCGGTGTATGTCTCTTGTCGTGAAAAAATCAGGAACATGACGAGATTTCGGAAACTAGAGACATCACAGGGAACAATCTTGTTCCGGTAAGTGTTAGAAATCGAGTATCAAGAACTATGATCTGAGATGAACTCTAACTCGAATCTATCTTTGAATACGATCGCTTTGTGTTTGGGTTTGAGAAAAGTAAAGAACGAGAACAACGAACACAAGAATTTGTTACCCAGTTCAGCGTGATCGATGTGATCACACCTACGTCTGGGGCCGAATCAATCCGGCAAATCCACTATCAAAATGAGTAAGAATCAGCTCGAGCTTGAGCTTTACAACAATGGCGGATCTCTCTCTCAAGTCTCTCTCTCTCTCTCGATACAACAGACTTTTGAAAGAAGAAAAAATGAAGAAGTGTAACAGATGAAACGATCCGTTTCAGATTATAACAAACTCTCCACTGCAGTTAGAGACTTCATATTGCTTCTTCTTTATCCGGTTCAATAAGCAATCTTCTAAACCGGAGATAACCACCTGATTAATTCTTCTGAGCTTCAATCAGAGCCGTCCAAGAGGCCAAGCAAGGCAAGCTGGTGCTTGCGGCCTTCAAATAATATAGATAAAATCGGCCTTCAAATTTTTAAATGCTCTTGTAGTCTACTGGTTATGACTGTTGTATAAGTGTGAGAGGTGAGGAGTTCGAATCTGTTTAGCTCCATCTTCCACTTGAAAACATTTTTCCTTCTTTTTTCAAGAGGCCTATATTTTTTTTTGCTTCCAGCCTTTAAATCTTCAGGGACGGCTCTGGCTTCAATCACCAATCAAAGCTAATAGGAGTTGAATCAGATACGAACCTTCAACAGTAAGCCTCCCTGTAACCAAAATCCTCACTCGCCTTAACTAGAACCTTTTGGAAAGAAGGGCTCTTCAGAAAATGGGATTACAAATCCCTCCAACTTCTTGTACAAACTACAAAGTGCCCTCTGTTGTTTTTGAGAATGATTTGCTCTCTTCTTGTTCATGGTGGAAATGCATGTCAGGGCACCATTGTTGGTGATCTCTTAAGCATTTCTTATATAAGAGACCTTGTTCGGCCTAGTTATATTAATAGTGAACTACTACTTTTGTTGAGTGTGAGTGTGTCACTGGTAACATTCATGAAGGATACTTAAGCATATGTATTATATTTTGTCGCTCAAATATGATAGTATCTTCGCTTTAGTATTTTATTTCGTACAAGGCTCTTCAAATCTTAAATTGGTGTAAAGAATGATAGTGATATGTATAGATAATATATAAATGAACAACTTGTATTGTGGTAATTCAAGGAAGAAAACTATAACTTGAATCTTGTGTAACATATTTGAGTATTGATACAATAAATAATAATAGTAATTTTTTCTATATTAATATTTTTTTACAAAGTTATTCATGATGATAAAAGCCTAAAACTTGTGGACCTCATGGTTTATATACTCAAAGAGCTAGCGATAACAAAGAGAACAAATCCTGGTTATGTATATTAGAATACAATCCCACGTCGGTTGGGGATTGTGAATCTTTGGGTAGTTTATATGTGATGTGGCAACCCTTCTTCTTTGAGCTAATTTTTAGGATTAGTTAGGCTACATTACTAATATGGGATCAGAGCCCATGGTAAGGCCCAACAAACAAATTCTCACATAATGGATTTCCCACCTATGTGACCCCATATAAATGGCATGTCTTGTTGTATTTCCGAGATGTTGGGTTTGGACAATTTCTGTGTTGGATCGTTTCCACCCACATCTCGAGAGGGGCTATTAGAATACAATCCCACATCGGTTGGGAATTGTGAATCCTTGGGTAATATATATGTGATATGGCAACCCTTCTCCCTTGAGCTAGCCTTGGTATTAGTTAGGCCACATTACTAATAATGTACTCGTGACTTATATACAAGCGACGAATATAGAACATAATCATATACCAAATTGGGAAACATCGATACATGGTATTATGACAAGAGATATATCTCCCTTCTTTGTGACTCTCTCAACGAGAACCTGGTGCATCTATACTTATACACAAGTATATAAAATCAAAACCAAACGAAAACCAAAATATTTCAAATGCAATGTCTCTTCTCTAGGTATGTCTAGCATAAATACTATCCTATTGACATATTAGTAGGGAAAAGAAATGTCCTAATTAATTGCGGAGCAGTGGAAGAAATTATAAAGGTATTGACCCATATTATTTTATCGTTTGGAATTTTTTCATCTTTGGATGATTTAACCATTAATCGTGGTTATATAATTGTATAGTTGAAAACAAAAAAACACCTTCGAAACCATAATTTTATTCATCCAACCATTTCACAGGTATATCAGTCTTTAAGACCCCTTAAATATTTCTAAGCACCATACTTACAAGTACCAAAACTAGGATCTATCATAGTAAATACGCCAGTATTTTTAAAACTACAAGCTTCTTGGGTACGATTATGGCTTTGATAATATGCGTTCATCGCAAACGAAGCATGATTTAAAAGAGTATAAGGATTAAAACAGTATCCACCAGGTCGGATTGGCGTACAATCAACTTCTTTACATCCCAAAATAATATTTTCTTGTAATTGCGCAGTCGTTGCTGTCATTTTTGCTACACACCATGTTTTAGGACTAGCCGCTTGAAGATGGTTAATCATGATCAAAGATAGAAAGACGAAAAGGATTATCAAAGGCAATGACATTTTGACCATTGTTGAAAACGATAATTGAAGTGAGGCAAATTTTATTTTTTGGATTTCTATGGTAGTATGTATATGCATCTATACTTATAAGATTGTGGAAAGACAACAAATATATTCATAATTAGACATTTATCTTTATACTATGAAATGATATGTCTTTAAGAACTTTAGCATTAATTGGTAGGAAGTCAAAAAAAAAAATTATGATTAGGAATATATCTTTATAATCATAAATGATATGTGCTTATAAACAGATATATACCTCCATAATCTATACTATTAATTGGGAAGGACAACTTGAAGCCAAACACCCCCCAATTTTAAAAAAAAAATTTCATGAAAATAAAATCAGTTGCCAAACAGAATTAATGACAGCAAAACAAAAAACAAAAACAAAAACAATCTATATTTATGGAAATCATAATAATCTTTTACCATAAAAAGTGGACAATTAAATTCAAAATTAAATATATGTAAACATATCTATTTTGAATATACATAAACATATTTAGTATTAATTTAATATTTTAATATAATTTCGAAATTAATAATTTATATATAATGAAATCTAATAAAACAAAATCATCATAAATCTAAATAAACAAAGATAACATTTTTTTTGAAAAATAAAAAGATAAAAAATATGTTAGCATATGAAATAATCAACTAATCAAATTCTATATAGTATATATACATAACTGATCATATCATCAAATTTTAAAAAATTATATAATTTTAAAATATAAATAAAATTTAAATAATAAATAATTAAATATTTGTTTGCTAAAATCATGCGAATAAACATTCTAAATCACATAAATTTCTTATTTTCACATATTAAAGGGGAATTTCAAAAATACCCATTTTCCAATACCACTTTTTAAAAATACTCCTCTTTCTAATTTTATCAAAAACTCACAATAAAATTTGAAATTTATCAGAAAAATATGTATAAACTTATATTTATGGACACAAATTATATTTACATGTGTGTAAATTTATATATATATTTCATACGTACCGTATAAATACCTTTTAAAATCATATAAAAAGCTTATAAACTGTGTAAACCTTTTAAAAACCTTATAAAAACCATATAAATGTCGTTTAAAACCTTTCAAAACCTTCTAAATATTTGGATTTAGTCTCCCAGTAGTAATGATGATCTTGATGTACCTTATCAACCATATAAAAGTTTATAATTTTTCATATTTGAAAAGGGGTATTTTTGAAAATGAATAGAAAAGAGGGTATTTTTAAAAAGGGTACACCAAAAGGGGTATTTCTCAAAATTCTCTTAAAAATATTCATATTCAAAAATCAATATAGCAATTATAGCACAAATGATATCTACAAAATTTATCTTTAATTCAATTAGTTAATGATTTTTATTTGGTCAAACAGTTAGTTAATGATTATTCTAAACTTCTTTTTCTTATTAATTTCACACAATCTTAACAAAATAAATCTTCATCCATTGACAATTTGCATATCATTACTATTATCAAATATTAAATAATTGTTTTATCAAATCATAAACTACATTTTGAGATTATAAACATATAAAATTTCTATAAAGATTAAAACTAAATAAGAAGTGGATGTATCATATTTAAATGATTTTAACAACTTATTACCAATTTTTAAATAATAAATGGATTATATTTTTCATGATTTAATCTAATTAAAAATATATAAAAAGTCAAATTGGTATGATATAAATGATATAATAAATAAATATCTACAAACATTATCTCACATATACGTACAATTCTAAACTTTGACAAAGATGATATATAAGTTTTGGATAACCGGTTGAAATAAAAAAAATTGTAGTTATATTTAATTCTCAAAATCTCAAAATATTGAACAAAATTCAACTTTGGGACGTATAAATCTCTACTTTTGGACGATTATATGAGATTTTACATATATTAAAATTATATTTAGTTACATGTAAATGGTGTTATTTATTTAAAAAATATATAAACTT